CAGCCGGGGCTAACGCTAGCCCGTCTGCAGCAGCCAGGGCTAACGTTAGTCCGTCTGCAGCAGCCAGGGCTAACGTTAGTCCGTCTGCAGCAGCCAGGGCTGACGTTAGTCCATCCGCAGCAGCCAGGGCTAACGTTAGCCCGTCCGCAGCAGCCAGGGCTAACGTTAGCTCTGGCTGCAGCAGTCCTCTCTCAGCATAGCCGTGTGTGAAGGACCGCTGGCTCTGATGGAGGTTTGATTGTTTTATTTGGAAAAATGTTCATTTGATTTGTGTTTATCTGACTGTGTTCATTATTATTACCACACTAGATTAAAAAAGCAATAATTTATTATTATCCAGAGACTATTAATAACATGAGGTAAAATGCAGCTCCGGACTATCTTTTAATGTGGTGACATCACGAGCGCGCTGCTGGGTCCATACTTTCTCTGTTCTTGTCAAGAACGTACTTAGTGAGAACACCAGTCCATACTCGCATTCTTAGAATTGAGAAACAGCCTCAGTTGTTGCTGCCGTCTGTTGCATTATGGGTAAATCTGGCGCTCTAACGGGTCCCTTCTGCTTTTGACCACAGATTCTGGGCTTTCCCATCCTGACTGACGGTCCCTGAAGGCAGCGTCATGTGAAATAAGGATCAGGGTGATGAGGACAATGGAGCAGAATGAAGATGGTCACCAGCGCGTCTCCTGGTTAGCATGAACTCACGCTCTCTCTCTGAGCCGCCTGTAACGGCCCTCTGCCCGGGACCGCCTGCATCTTCCCCCTCTTCCTCAGTAGGCTGAGAGCCTCTCAGAGACTTCCTGAAAACCTTTCCAGATCCTGTGAGACCTGGACATTAAGAAACAGAGAAGACATCAGTAAAAAACGTTCATTAGCCTCTGGCTGCCATGTCTATACGTCTGCTCTACGACTCCACAACGCCTCTTTAGATCTACCGCTATGACCTACGGCGGCTTCAGATGCTCTGAGGGCTGATTGGACCAAAAACCTACACTGCCCTCTAGTGTCACATTCTCAACATGGACGCAGACGCCAAATTATCCTGTGTGAAGTAAAAAATGTTGAGGTATGTCTGTTCTTAGCGTCACACGCTGCAAAGGAAGGTCATGAGAGATAAGAACGAGTCACACAGCCTCCCTCATGGCATGAAGCGGAGGACTGCTGGTTTGAGGTTTCTAGCTAGTGAAAGATATATTAACCTAGCAGGGAACGGTCTTGATGTATTCATTTTGTTTACACTCGTGTATACAAAATGACCAAATAAATCTGTCTAGTCCGAGTAGCGCCATCTCACTGCGGAGCTGAGTCCCACCTGGTTTTTAGACGTACAGTGTGAGCAGGTAGATCGCATCAGAGCGTCGGGTCAAAACAAACATGGTGAGCTGTGAACCTTTAAACCTGCGGTTTCGTTGTAGAGTGTTAGCTTTAGCTGCGTGCAGCAAAAAAATCGTACTGTGTATGCACGACTTAAAACTATTTTCCAACTCATGCAGTAAATAAAGCCAAGCTGCTCTCTAGCTTGAAGCTACAGAACAGAGCGGATAAACAACCAGAGCGGCAAAGCAACTGGTTCTGTGTTTAAGCGTCTTTGAAGCTTAAAACGCAGCATCAGAGTTAAGGCCTCACTAGTTCTTCTAGCCCAGAGAGCTGCAACCTGTGGCTCTTTAAAAATGACAGAGGCTCTTCATCACTTTGGCTGAAGATGATGAAGGACCTGCTGACTCGTGTTGAATGTCCAAAATAAATAGACTCTAAATATAACAGAACTATATTGCTTGATCTTTATTCTCTGTGACCACGTTTAGAAATGTCACAGTGGTCATTTAAAAAGTTCTCATGTTTGCGGCTCTGAACTGTTTTAGCTGAACTGAAAATAAAAATGTCTCTTTGGATTTTTGATTGGGAAGGTAGCCAATCACAGAGGAGCACTGAAAGGAGAAGAAATGGAGAAAGGTGGAGCAGAGAGGAAGGTAAGGGATGAAAAGCAGGTCACTCCTCCTTAGAGATGCTAGATCACTACTGAGCACCAGGGCAGCTGTCTGGGATTAGGAGCCAGGTTACCATGGATGCCCCCATCACTGTTAGCCGCTGCGTCTGGACTCCTCCTCTGGAGGTCTTCATCGGTGGGTCTGCTCTGACCTCCTGACCAAGCTCCGCCCCCCTCCAGACTCTGGGGATCCGCTGAGGCGGTTTGTTTGGGGCGTGTGTGCAGAGCGGTGCTGCGAGGTCTGGGGACGGGCTTCTGGGGGGGGTCCAGGTGGACGGCTTCAGGCGGCATCAAGACAGACAGGGAGACAAGGTTGGTGCTGCGTGCCAGAGGGAGGGATCCAGGTCCTTCTGGAACTATTCACACCTCAAGAACATTCCCACGTTCAGAGGTGGATAATCCAGATCCAGAAAGTAAAAAGCCGGTACAGAGATTAGTTCCAGCCACTTCCAGGTAATCAGCTGGTTAAATGAACAGGATGAAGTTTTTACTTTCCGGACCTGAATTATCCGCTTCTGCTCACATGTTTGGACAAACCTCTGGGTTTTATGACTGGCAGGTAAAAAATTAAAGGTTTTTACTTTTTAAAAGACAGAAAATAGGAAGTTTATTTGTTAGAACATCTAATTATGTTAATCTGTGTGTCTTCAGAAGTTTTACAGCAAAACGGTCAACTACACTACAAAACATGTTCGTCTAAAGCTACAGAAGACCAGAAGCTGACGTCTAAAAGATGGAAAGGTTCAGTGGGAGAGAGAACGACTACAAGCCCCTAAAAACAGCCTTCTACCAGCTGAATGTTCCTTTGAAAAAAGGATCCTTAACTTACAGCTGCATCTAGAACAGGTCAGATAAACGAACGAACATCCTGCAGCTCTGACCTCAGACAGCAGCAGATCTAATGATGACAGGCTGTCAGCAGTCAGCGCTGGATAATAAAAGCTCCCAGGAAACCACCCAGCTTTGCATCAACAGTCTGGTTTTAACTAAGAGTTGGACTGAACTGGAGCCAAAGTCATGTGGATAAAGGGACAGCGGTTGGTCAATGTGAGCTCACCCTGGTTGTTGTTAGTCGGGGGCTTTGGGTCTTTGATAAACCGCCGTTGGGATGACTCTGCTGCTGTGGAAAATGGAGGAGAAGAAGAGAAAAGGAACCAAAGATTAAAGGCTGAACGTGAACCAGAGCCACGTCCAAAGAAAACACTCACCTATAAACAGATCAGTTCTAATCAGTTAAAGGAAAAGTCAGCTCATCAAAGAATCATCATTTATACCTAAAACTAATGCGTTCGCAGTGATTTAAGGAATTTAGCGTTAATCAGTGAAAAATAAAAACAATCATTTTTGTCGCAATCACTGAGTCTGGGAGCGGCCATTTTAGCCCAAATATAGTAGCCCCTCCCTCCTGCCATCTTCCAGCAGTGACGTCACGGTGCGGTAAGCCTAGCGCCATTCTCCTCGCTTTCCAAGCTAAATCAATGGGAACTACTAGACACATCTGCAATCAACAACAATTATTGAAGATTTCCAGAGGACTTCACCATTGAAATTCACCAGAGCTATAGTGAAACTGACAATGCCCACGTGCATGGCAGCTGGATGCTGGAATACATCGGGTAAAAGTGAAAAAAAGAGTTATTCCACCTTTCTGATTCCTGATCCTCCACGGACGGGTTGGTCGTTGGATCGCCAACTTGAAGAGGGAGGATTTGCCATCGAACTTCTGGCCAGAGAAAAAACCCGTAATATGTAGCCAACATTTGGAAGAAGAAGGTTTTCAAGATGACTTGGATAATAGCGCGTTGTGACAAACACCAGATACAGCACTGGGACTTGATCAACAGCCGATACCGCACCGTGACAATGTCACTAACCAGTAGGTGGCAGTAGTGTTCTTTGACAAACATGGATGCCTCCAGTAAAGCACATTCACATGAAAATTACTCTGAATTAAAAACACTGATCATTTATTGAACAGGATGGAATCATTTCAGATTTAAAGAACTTTCAGAAGTTTGAATTCTGAATATGAGCGACTTTTTCATTTATATGTGGACACTTGTCATTCTCCAAAACAAATAATTTCTGCTTATTTAAGGTCACAGACTAGATTTAGTGTCCTGTTAAACTCTGACATTAAAATGGTAACATCAGGTGTTTCAGATCATGATTGTTCTGCATTGATGGAGAAGCTTTGATTGTCACTGACGGCTGTGTTAAAGGTATAGAGGATCTTTTATGTCCGTGTGCATCATGTCAATCAGTGGTCCTCCTAACTGTCAATCATTCTGGTGATATGTTCATGTAAGGCTGTCCTTCATGCTCGCCATGTTATCTGTGCTGAGCTACGGTTTCAGACAGTCATTGAAGCTCACCTTTCTCACCGCGGTTCTTTAAAAATGGCCGAGTTGGAAGAGAAAAAGTGTCTACAAAGTGTATGAGAAGAAAAGAAAGGCCTCAGAAGAGGCAGATATATCCCAGAATGCTTTGCATGGAGAGATCTCTATATAAGCATTCTGGGATTTGCTGTCACAGCGGCCCGCTGTCGCCATAGGCTGCCGCTACCCGACAGCGGCGACTAATAACAAAGATGGCGCAGTTACCGCGCAGTGGAGGAGGAGTTACGTGACCAATGAAGTAAAAAGTAGTGATCATCTGTCTGAACGGGCAGTTAACTGAGTTCACTATAAAGTTCACTATACAGTCCCCGCTGTATGTGGACACATTAAGCTTGTATGAGCTACGAGAACCGCACATTTTAAACAGGGCGTGCACGAGGAGCAATGGGCTCGTGCACACTCACGCATTTTTTTTTTTAAGTGGAGGTAAAAAATCCTCCTAATACCTTTAAACCAGCGGCAGAGCACTGAAGGAGCAAACCTTGGGAGGCTGATAGGTCTGGACCATCGCAGGAGTCTAGCTGATCCACTGCTTTTCTTTATTTTTTCTTTTATCCAGACGTAACGTGATTAAATTTAAACCACAAAACGACGCAATAAAAAAAGAAACGGCTCTCAGTCTTCTAAGGTTTTAAAACAATGACAGAAAACTTTAACTACAGACAGATGTTGTTTCTACAGCGTCCTTCTGGCTGCTAAGCAGAGATCTCACAGACATTAGTGGAATTTTGAAGGTTTAAGTCTTTGATAAACGACTGATGGCATCGTTATTCTACATTTCCATCTTCTACCACTGCAAACTTCCCCTGCTTCAACTCTTTCTTATGTTTTCATTACTTGTTAGTAGTGATGTCATGAGATGAGCCGAGGCTGCGAGGCGTGTTTCAATTAGTGGAGGGGGGCGTTTCCGTGAGGTGCGTATCGAGGCGGGATTCATTTGGGGGAGGAGCCAAAATAGATGATGTCCGAAGCCTAGCAACCCCGCCACAGCATGTGGCCGCTTTAGGAAGTGGTTCAGATCACCAGGAACTTCAGCAGGCTTTTAAACTATTCAGTCAAGATGTGGGAGTTTGGAGGAGATTCTAAGAATAGATTGGTTGGAAAAATAACCAATCTAGTTGGTTAGAACTAGTTTGGTTAAACATGTAAAGATCAGAATCTGAGCAAACCTCTGCTTACAGCTGTAACATTAGTTTTAAGTAGTATTGCTTTCATGAGCATAGTTAACATAACTGGAGTTGTCAGCTGTAAGACATTGACTGACTTCCATTCCTCAGGTTGTTGGTTCAAAACCCACCTTAAACTTCAAAGTTTTGATAAAACTTAACTAGGGTTGTCAAAAGTATCGAAACTCAAAAAAGTATCGATACTGAAATGTTGTATCCGGATACAATACTCGTTTTTAAAAGTATCGATACAGTGCCATCACCAGTGGCATCTAAGCAGT